GTAGTCTCAACTAGCTCAAACCCAGACATCGGGCATGCGTGGTACCCGAGTGCGGGCTTGTGAAGAATTTTTTCCAGTAAATTGCTAACTCAGGGGTGTTTCCTGCCAGTTTTGGTGGCCAGTCTTAATTTGTTTAGCTAGAAGGATCTGCCGAAAAAACCGATGCCGGTAGCAACAAAAACTGCGGGGAACTATGCAAAAAACGCATCATCGGACGGACAGCCCGTGCGTTGGCCAATTATTAAAAATATGTCTTCGGTGGTAAAAGGGGTGCTCTGGTAAAAGAGGTGCTTTTTTTTTTTGACAGCAAAAAGGCGCGAGTTAAAAATGCAGTGTGCAGAAAAACTAGGACCTTTCGGAAAGATAAGTTAATTTGTTGTTCACATGAGCGTGCATTGCATGAGCGCTGTTTGCACGCCGAAGGTGAGAGGTATCGCCTGCGCGCGCGCGGCATTTCTTCATTGACCTCAATGTTATTATTTTTACTGTATCACAGGATGGAGCGATTTGTTGAAGTGGTTACGCTGAGTGACAGCGACGACGAGATTGAAGTGTTGCTGAATGCCAGAGTGGAGCAGCCGCGCGTTGTTAGTGCAACAATCTCAGTTGTTCGGGAGACACCTCTGGACCTCTCGCTTCTTCAGCGCGTTTGTTATCAGAATTTTTGCTTCCCTGATTTGCAAGTTTAGCCAGCTGCTGGCCACAGTTGACGTCCATTTCGTGTAGCGTGCGTGAGAGATTTGCAATTGCACTTGTTGGTTGCTCATTTCCAAAATTCATGTCACGGCTTGTTAGGGTGACCACAGTGGTGCGAAAATCAAGCGCAGGCGCAGTTTCACTGTGCGGTGTTCGGAGGAGCCAGGTGGTTCGTTCATTCCTCATCATTCTTCTTCCCGGCTCTTGTCGTTGATTTATATTGTCTGGGTCAGTTTAAAACAACACTACTTTCAAGTCAGCTTTCCAAGTTCTTTCAGATTACGTCCTCGTCAATAAAAAAATAACTGAGGGCTCTCAGAATTTGTCGGTTCGTTCCTTTTGTCGTCTTCGTCGAAAGCGGGCATTTCCTGTCACTAGGTGCATTGCGCAGAGAATCTTTTCGTCGGGGGCGTATCCATAGGGGCTTGTAATTAATATCTGTTTTTGAGACAGATGAGCGTTGGCTGTGTCAAATGATTTTCCTCTTCCTTGATTTATAATTGTTCAGCATTACTCAAATCTCTTTTGCTTTTTTCAGGCTCCAAGGCCAGCATCTGCAACAGTGTCCAGGTTGAATTCAAGAAATAAATCACCGGTGTCAGCCAGGAAACGGAAGATTCAGTTGTCAGCGTCCGATAAACCACAAAGTTCGGTTCCTCGCAACCGCAGCGCAACCCGTGCGCGACAGGCATCAGTTGATACGACACTGGCAAAGGTTGGCCATTAGACACTAAGATTTGAAACTGTGCAGTAAATCCTTGTACTACAAGTTTATGCTAGTAAGCCGGTCTTAAACCGTCGCAGTGCATTCCTCATTTTTTTTGTGGAATAGTGTGACTCGAGTATACCGACGATAATGAGAATTGGGGTAATCGTGCACAGCGGTGCCGATGCTAGCAGCTTTAGATTTGCTGTCGGCTGAGATTAAATTTGCAGTTGCTGAATATGGCCTGCTTGAGAATTGGCTTGAGTCGCCGCAGTCGTCTTGTTAGCCGCTACAGCTTATCAAAATCAGTCTTTAAACCGTCAGAAATGATTAATCGGTCGTTTTTGAGTTGCGAACTGAGATTCGTGGATATCGGAGACGAATACCCGCCCGTCATCACAAACCAGAAGAAAAAAAAAAGTATTTCTGGAGAATGTGGTACGCTTGGGCATTTTTTCTTGTATTGCTTGCAGGGGAGGAAATTTTTGACAACGATTTATTATTCAGACGCGTAGTTATTTGTGGGTTTGGGAGGGGAAGGGGGGAAGGGAGGCTGAGCACATATTTGTGCTGTTGCTGCTGTTATTGGATTCACTGATATGTATGTAAATGAAATTTTTTAGAAAAGAACACGAAACAAGGCGGAAGATGCAAAGCCGTACGATCTGCGTGAAGTAGGTGTTGAATTTCTTTTGAACAGTACGTCATTTATTTTTCATTAAGAATAGAGACGCTTGAAAGTAGCTCGAGGCGTACCGGATGCCAGCAGTTACTGCGTTCTCCTGATGAGGCTGGATAATTTCTGCTTTTCTCACTGGTTGCTTATAAGGAAGTTGAAAGCGTTTCTTACTGTCTGGCAGGTGCCAGCGAAAGAAATAAAAGCGTCGAGAAGGATTTGCCTCTTCCACTAATGGGGCGGAATCCTTGTCGTCCAGATTGAGGTCTGCTTCACACTACTTAAGACGTCCAAAGGGCATTGGTATAAAATCACATAAATAGCGGCACGCATCAGAACAGTCGGTGCGATCATGCGTTTTGTGCAATTCTGTCCGCCGAACGATTGCCTGCTAATGATTTTCACTACTTTGCACTTTGGTCTGTGCAAAAATAGTCGAAATGTTAAAAAATAGTTGCAAATTTCACGCGTCGCCATGTAAAAGCTGGATTTGAAACCTCGAAGGGTGAATATCGTTCCATAATTTCAGTCTGCTATTTTTTGGACGTTCGAGGGATTTTTGTGACAAATCTTTTACGTGTTCGTACGTGAGGTCGCGGCATACTTAGGAACTAAATTCGAGTTTTTAAAACCGCTGCTTGGACAGGAAAAATCCTCTGCTCCTAGCTCTTCTGGCTCAAGAGATAATGATTTTTCTCGCCAAAACTTCCACGGGAATGTTGAAAATTTGCGGAGTTTTACGTGGGCAGGTGATGCCCCGCTAAAATTTCAGTTTTCTAGGTTTTGCAATTCACGAGATAATAATTCCTCTACCAAAACTTTCACGAGGCCGTACTTGGGACCCAGTGGTGCGTGAAGGCTGTGTCCAGATTTGCAGTGTCGTGCGTTTGTAAGGGACATCACCCTAAAATTTCAGATTCCCAACTTCCGCGGTTCCCGAAATAATAATTTTCCCCGCCGAAACTTTCGCGGGGCCGTAAGTGGTACTAGAGCGTGCGAGAATGCTGAATTTAAATCTGCTGAATTGTATATGGGCGGGAGACATTAACGTTAAATTTCAGCTTCTTAACTTTTATAGTTCCTAAAATAATAATTTGCCCGCCGAAATTTTCATAGGGCCGCAGATGATGCCCGAGAGCGTGGGAGCGCTGAATTTAAATTTTCTAAATCGCACGTGGGCAGAGGACATACCCATAAAAGTTTAGATTCCTAACTTCCGTGGTTCCCGAGATAATAATTTTCCCCGCCAAAACTTTTACGGGCCGTACGTGTTACTCGCCAGCACGGGAATGCTGAATTTAAATTTGCAGGGAACACTGTATTGAAATTTCAGCCGTCTAGCTTTTGTGGTTCCCAAGTTGAATGTGCGGGACAAAATCTGGGATACACACACACAGACAGCTTCGTGACAACATGCGTTTTGTACTGCTGTTGTACAGCACAAAACGCATAAACATGTCTCAAGTAATAGAGGTTCAGTGGGATAGTGACTGTATAGTTACTAAAAAAAGTTGATCGCCAAAATTATCGAGAACGTCCAGTCAAATGAATAACGTTGATGTTAGTGGAAAGCTCCTACATGCAACCACGCAGATGTGCTGAATTGTTCGGTCTAGAGTTACCTACCTCTAGTTACTACTTGTCGCTTGTCGACCTACCTGCGTCACACTGTTAGTCACCACCAAAGTGATCGCTTACATTCTTGCAGCTGCTGTTCGCTGATACATGCCCCCAGTTGACACCAAGGCGAGCAGCATGTCTTATCAGTCGTATTTTACTTTCTCCTTTATTCGCAGTGACATCATGCACGCCACTTATCTGGCTGCAATTCTAGCTGTTCGTTCATATGGCCAACAGTGGCTACTCCGAGCGTCTGTCTGTTGTTGCTCTTTCCGTCTGTCTTCATGGCCGTGTTTTGCATCCACATATTCATCACCTTCAGTACAGTGGTGTTTTAGAGATGGGCACGATATTTCGGCTTTAACGCTTTGAGAACTATTCTTTATGCCAAGCTTCACTTATACACGTAATGTCTGCCTGAATATTATGATGCATATTTATTTAGTTTCTAACCAGGTGTGGCGTCGCTGCGACCTTTTTCCAAGTCAGTGTCGTGTGTCTGCGGTCTGGTCGTGAGCGTACCGCAATCTAACATCACCTTTGTTTGCATTACTTTTTGGAGACATTTTCTTACTTTAAGCTCCTGCGACATGTTATTCATTTTTTGAGCATTCCTTGCAGTGAGAGGCATAAAATTTGCGAAGCGTGAGTGGTTTAGCTGCTCGTCACTGTTGTTCTGGTCAGCTTTCCGTTTCAGCTTGCAAAATGTTGTCACGTGACAGACCGCAAAAAAACTTGGACATAGTGACGTTTCTCTGCTTCATGTCCACATCAGCCGGCCTGCAAGTCTAATTACAAGAAAGTGTGACTAAAATCCTAATTTATTCCATAATTTACTCCATATTTTGATGCGTTTTTGCATGTATTTAAATGCAACCCAGGCTGAAACGCACCAGGCTCTCCGGTACGATCATGCGTTTTTGCACTAAACTCGCAGATCTCTATTAGCAAGGATGATCCCTACGCTGTAGCCTAACACTTGGGCTCATATTGGCCGTGCTTTGGCCCCTTCCGGCATGCAGGAGGAAGGGCCAGTTGGGATGAAGGTGGTGCATTATAGAGCCGCACGGACATCCAGTGCATGATTACCGGTTTTTTGCATGAAGTCCGGTCATTTTTTCGGTAAACTCGCTTTGTGAAAAAATGATAAATTTTTTCTTGCGGAAAAATGCAAATTTCCAGTTCACTAAAAAGTGGAAGTATTGCTCGAGCAGTCGTTTATCAAAAAGCCCACGTTCATTTGCAGCGGTTAAGGTTCGAGCTGCGAACGAATTTTTGAAAATATGCAAATTTTCAGTACATTGGAAAATTGAAAGTGTTGCTCGAACGGTCGTTTTCCAAAAAATCCATGTTCATTTGCTTATACAATTGCGGTTCAGGTCCGAGTTGCTAACGGTTTTTGGGTTCAGAAGCTGCTTGAGGCTGTGGTTGGAGAGCTAGAGAGCTGAGTTTAAAATTTTTATCTCGCACGCACCTAAAGAATATCCCTGCAAAATAATCAGCTTTCTGCGTTGCCTGGTTTGCGAAATCGTTTCCCGCCAACAAATTTCTTTGGAGGTCTCGTACGCGGAGTCTGGGCGCGTTCGGGGAAAGATCTTAAAGCGGGAGGATGACACACGAGGTAGGAACATATATCCAAAGTTTCAGCCCCCCAGCTTACCTGGTTGCTAAGATGAAAGTGAGTAACAAAATGCACTCGCTTTTCAAACACATACACACACAAACAGCCTCGACAATGTGCGTTTTTGCTAGCTGTAGCAGCGCTATAGCGCTGCACAGCAAAAACGCATAAAAACGCGTGTTTGTTTTGAACCGTGATTTGCGTTTGTGTTTGTCTGTGTGTGCGCGTCTTTCCGAGCATTTTTAGTTGGCAACCAAGCATGCTCCGACGTTGAAAACGGCAATGGATTTTCCTATTAAATGCCACCCCACAGACGCGGTATCAACCATCACATACGTCGGAGTCCCGCATTCGATTACGGGAAAGTTCTGGCGGGATAACTGCTAAATTGGGAAGGAGAATAACTGGAAAGCTGAAATTTTAAGAGTATGTTCCCGTTCACGCACAAATTAAAGATTTTAAATTCAAATCTCTGGTGTGCGTGTTCCTCAAGAATGGGCAACTGAAATTTTTGGCCGGAAAATTGTTTACTCGGGTTAAAAAACTGGGAAATTGAAGCTTTAAGAGGATGCCGTTGTCTACGTGCATCTTAAAGACTTCAAATGCAACCCCTTGGTACGCGTGGTACTCACGTGCAGGCACGCAAAGGTTTTGGCGGGAAAATTGCTGATTGAACAGGCTATTGCCTGTCCTTTTTAAGAGTACGATTGACTTTCCCACTGATTTTTAAATTAGGATCAAAGTTCTTTGATTTTCAAATTAGGATCAAAATTTTTATACTTTCCCATTGATTTTTAAATTAGGATCAAAATTCGAAAATACAGAATATTTAAGTATGCTGACACTCCGGGTTAATTACCCGGACACTGTTTGACATAAACCGCTTAAGCCTGCACCGATTCTATTCTCAGTGCCTTTTCAGATCATCGAACACACAAGTTGTTTTTCCCCAACACCACCCGATTTACCTCCTTCGCAAATGAAGTCAACCACTCGAACGAAACGGCAGAGACACCGTTTGCCGATGCGTAATAAGCAGTTGCACACGACACCTCTTAAGTGCCCCGTAGCTGTCCCACAGAGCACCTCAGCAGCGGATGCTCG